TATATACAACTCTTATTTAAAGCACGCGAATGCACACATTCATATTTCAAAAGGTGTTTCGAATAATTTTAATAACAAATTATGGAAAACCTGGAAAGGGAATATTAAATTAGCAGATCCCTCATCAAAACATGTTAAACATAAAATTGAGACGTTTCCAACCGGAATAATCCCAACATTATTTTCTCTATTGAATGTTTGTGGGACTTTAGTTTTACCGAAAACGATTTTGTATGTTTGCGACAGGTTTATAAACAACTTTTCTTTCGCATAACACGTTTGCGGTGAAATGTTGACTTTTTCAATTACAGAATTTAAATGAGTTGATTTTTTTAAAAAAGACGAGGTAATTTGAAAGGGCGCGCCTTTGAAGCATTCTTTAAAGGTAATTGATCAAATTTTTGAATTGAACACACCCATAAATTTAACATAAACAATTTAGTTTATTTAAAATTGCGCACTGTGCAGGAAATTGGAAATTAATTCTTTATTACAGAATCTCTCTTTTAGCTGGAAAATACCGATGTGAAAAATTCAGCTTCTGAAAGCTTAATTTAGCGTTTATTTAACGATCACTGCTCTGACAGTTTTTAATTTTTTACGTACTCTATTAAAATATTCATTCTAATTATATATGATAATTAACTTATAATTTTGTAGTGGTAATGTAAAACATACAGAGTGTTCCTAAATATGATGTACACATGTAGATCTGCAAACGCTTTGTTAGCGATTTTTTTAATTACTTCTCCTGCAGTTTTTGAGATATTTGGCTTAAACTGGGAATACAATTCATTTGATCTCGCTTTTGTTTTCAACATAATGGGGGTAAACAGTAGATATAGTTGAATTCCGTAGTTCTAATTTAATAAGCGTATACCTGAAACCATAATAGTTATTTGTTTCATTAGTACAAAAAATGTCAGTTTTCGGGACGAGGAAGATAGTTGCTGGACGACGCGACCGAATCCCGAAAACGCATTTTTTGTACGAATAAAACATAAAATTTTTTCTCCAACCCCCTTTACTTCAAATTATATTCGAATTTAGATTCAGTCACAGTTTCACTACTAGTATAAAAACTTCTGCTTTCTTGTCGTCACGTGTCATGCCACTCTAGTTTTTAGGTTAACTTATAACCTATTCGTTCTTACTGCTTACTTCTCACCTCTCGGACTTTGTAGGGAGCAAATCTTGAGGTAGCATGTTCTGCCGTTTCTAAAATCTCTGGCGGAGTGCAATCCATGTCGCTATCAGTTTCAGTCATTTCTATTATATACACAATTAATATTGTTATATTTTGTATTGAAATAAAAAACTTACCATACAGTTTTTTAATTAAAATTAATTGCAATTAACTTTTTCAAATTTTGAATTCAAAATGACAGATAATAGTGCAATGGGTTTGAAGTAGATGGCGTTACGCGCGACGGCGGGTTGTATACGTATTAAAATTACGTTCATCGAATATGTAAATTACGTTACACATGGTTTAAATAAAAATAGGGAGCGTAAATCATTTTCAATACATGTACAATACGTATAGGTAACATCATTATTTGCATTGAATATGCAAAAATACTTGATTTGTATGTATAGAAATATCTTACAACCTGCAATGTAAAACGATGTCAATGTGACATACCTATCTCCGTGATTGTAATTTTTTAATTGGCCAACTTTCAAGGTCAATTTCTTTTTGGTACTAGGACCAAAAGTATCCACTTTTTGTACAGTTGCCATGGTGAAAGCGATTAATCCGCAAAACGTCAGTTTTACGTACCGAATACTGTCACAAAATAGCGTCTTATTCAGGTGGTTGGAGAAAAAACATTTTTTTGGACAGTAAAAGTTTATTTACAAATAGAGGCTGATTAGCAAAAAAATAATGGACATGTGTGGTATTAGGGGTTTATTCAAAACGAGATGATTGTGGCTATAAGTATTTCTACTTCAATTTTGGATACTTTGCAGAAATTTAATTTAGATTTAAGTAAGCTTATAGGTTTAGGTTTTGATGGGTTAGTTTAGTATTATTAAGGAGGCAATCAAATTTTTTAGATAGAGTCCAAAAAGACGAAAGCTGGTTCAAAATGTGCCTTTATTGTGTGAGACCAGATGACTGCTAAATACAAATCTATTAGGCTTTTCCTTGAAAACTTCCTTTCAATTATTTCTTCTTTGGAAAACTTATTAACAGATGAGGGTTTCAATGGACAAACAAAATTTAAAGCTCAGCAAATATTAAATTCTTTATCATCTCCCCAATTTATTGTTTGTCTTACTATTATTGCTAAATATTCTGCGTTATTGGAACCAGTTGTGAACAAATTGCAGGCAACTTCAGTTCTTTCAGTACTCTTAGAAGGATTAAAACGTGGCTTAGATCAACCATGGGAAAAGCCCTTGTTCCTTATAAGCGTACACAGAAAATATGTAAAAGAGAATAAAAAGACAATTATTGAAAAAGTGAGATATCTTTGGCTCAGAGAAAAGAAATCTAAGATTTCTATTTGATACACAGTAAATTGTTTTTTTCACTACTAGCGTCTGATGACATGATTATTAACCTTTTTTCCACTTGTAAAGTAGGCTTTCTCGGCATTTGTTCAAAGTGGTTAATAATTTTTTATTATTAACTAGTAGTCAATAATGAGAACTGTCACGCTGTCACTTTTAGAAAACACAACCCGAAATTTCGCTCAATAAACGTTTAGGCAAGTTCTCTAAAATGAATAATTGCCACCATCCGCCATTTCCAGAGAAATTACATACCTAAAATTATCACATTTTGAAAAAATTCGAACGAAATTACTCTTTGAAAAATCTCAATGACAGAACAAAATACGGCCTGTTTGACTTGTACTTCCAGGTACTTGATTGACATGTTAAATTAAGAAACAAACAATTCTGTCCAACCGTTAACTCTCTTATCAATATAATATGTTAATTTAGAGGATTTCCAGTGCTAGTAGTGAAAAAAATAGTATATATACCACGGTAGAGAA